TCTGTCAGTACAGTCACAAACTGGCTCATCTTCCAACCAGGTCATTAGTTCCGGAACCTTGGCTCACAAAGGTAATTTTTTGAGTGCCTTCACTGTTGGTAAGAAACGTAAAAAACCTTGGATAGTGGACTCAGGAGCATCTGATCATATGACGGGAGATGCGACAATTTTTGATACATATAGCTCTTGTCCAAATAATTTAACAGTCCGAATAGCAGATGGCTCACTATCAAAGGTTGCCGGTACAGGTTCAGTTGTGCTATCAAGAGATCTTACTCTCAACTCTGTTCTCCTTGTTCCTAACTTGGACTGTAATCTATTGTCAATTAGTAAACTCACTAAGGAAAAGAGGTGTATTACTAATTTTTCCTCCACTCACTGTGAATTTCAGGATTTGGATTCGGGGAAGACGATTGGCAATGCTGAGGAATGCTCTGGACTCTACATCCTTAAGGAGTGCCACAATCCGCAAGAACAACCTCAAATGGAAGTTGGTGGTAATTTTTTTTCGGTTTCATGTCAAAATAACGATAGTGCAATTATGTTGTGGCACTATCGCTTAGGTCATCCCAATGTTATGTATCTCAAGCAGTTATTTCCTTCATTATTTAATAAAAATCCAAAATCCTTTGAGTGTGAAATCTGTCAATTATCAAAGCAAGTCCGGTCTCATTTTCCCATTCAACCCTATAAAGAGTCTAGTCCATTCTCAATGATTCATAGCGATATCTGGGGTCCTTCAAGAATAAAAAATGTAACTGGGACTAGGTGGTTTGTCTCATTCATAGATGATCACACTAGATTAACTTGGGTATTCCTCATGAAAGAAAAATCTGAAACGAGTCAAATTTTCAAAAATTTTAAAAATATGATTCAGACCCAATTCCAGTCAAAAATACAAATTCTAAAGTCTGATAATGCTAGGGATTATTTCAACTCCATTCTAGGAGAATTTCTAGCACAAGAAGGGATAGTTCACTTAAGTTCATGTGTTGATACCCCACAACAAAACGGAATCGCTGAAAGGAAAAATAGGCATTTGTTAGAGGTGACTAGATCGCTAATGTTCTCCACGAATGTTCCAAAATTATTCTGGGGGGAAGCTGTCCTTACGGCAGCCTACCTCATCAATAGGATGCCGTCGAGGGTACTAAAATTCCAAACACCTTGTCAAACACTCCTAAAATCCTTTCCGACTACTCGTCTCATATCCACCGTCCCACCCAAAATTTTTGGGTGCTCTGTCTTTGTTCATATCAATCAACAACATAGAAGTAAACTTGATCCTAGGTCACTCAAGTGCATCTTTCTTGGGTATTCTTCAAATCAAAAAGGGTATAAGTGTTACTCTCCGGTCACAAGAAAATTCTACAATTCAATGGATGTCACTTTTTTGAAACCCAGCCTTACTATCCCAAAAACGATATTCAGGGGGAGAATTCAACTCAGGAATATCAATTTTGGGATCTTGAGACATTCAGTGAGTCACCCATCACCACTGAAAATTATCAGCCCGAGTCCATTCTTGAATTGCGGGATAAGGAGCACATCCAAGAGGAAACGGAGGAAGGAGCACTTTCTCAAACCCATGAGGCTGAACCGGGTCCTAATCCAAGCAAACTTCCAGGTAACAATGCTCCTGATGGTACGGAGGAAGGAGCACTTTCTCAAACCCATGGCTGAACCGGGTCCTAATCCAAGCAAACTTCCAGGTAACAATGCTCCTGATGGTACTGTTGATTCCGAGTTAGAAAATGATATTCTTAATATGCCCATAGCTTGGAGGAAAGGAGTTAGATCATGCACTCAGCATCCCATTGGAAATTTTATTTCTTATGATAAGCTATCACCTACGTTTCGTGCATTCACTTCTAGCATCACAGAGATACAAGTTCCTCAGAATATTCATGAAGCTTTCAAGTATCCTAAGTGGAAGGCGGCAGTCGATGAGGAAGTTCGGGCGCTGGAAAAGAATGGTACATGGGAAATTACTGACCTCCCAAGAGGTAAGAAACCAGTTGGGTGTAAGTGGATTTTCACAGTAAAGTACAAGGCAGATGGTAATGTGGACAGGTATAAAGCTCGGTTGGTCGCCAAAGGATTCACTCAATCCTATGGCATTGACTATCAAGAAACGTTTGCTCCAGTTGCTAAGCTCAATACTGTTCGTGTACTTTTATCCTTGGCAGCTAATCTTGATTGGTCGCTTCACCAACTTGATGTGAAAAATGCCTTCCTCAATGGTGACTTAGAGGAAGAAGTTTACATGGACATTCCTGCTGGACTTGAGACGACATCAAATTTCAACAAGGTTTGCAGACTCCGAAAATCCTTGTATGGTCTCAAACAATCTCCCAGGGCCTGGTTTGAACGGTTCACTAAGGCAGTGAAAGGGTATGGATTCGTTCAATGTCAATCCGATCACACATTATTTGTGAAACACTTCCCAGAAGGGAAGCTGGCAATTATCATTGTATATGTGGACGACATAATTTTGACAGGTGATCATGAAGAGGAAATTGACTTACTTAAAAAATTACTGACAAAGGAATTTGAGATCAAGGATCTTGGAAACCTCAAGTACTTTCTCGGAATGGAGATTGCTAGGTCAAAGAAAGGTATAGCAGTCTCACAACGCAAATACGTTCTGGACTTATTGAATGAAACAGGAATGCTAGGATGCAAGCCGACAGAGACACCTATGGATACAACTATCAAACTAGAAGAAAGTGATGGAAGTGCGCCAGTTGACAAAGGAAGATATCAACGTCTTGTGGGGAAACTCATCTATCTTTCTCATACAAGGCCAGACATCGGCTTCTCCGTTAGTGTGGTAAGTCAATTCATGAATAATCCAACCGAAAAACACATGACCGCTGTGACCAGAATATTGAGGTACCTCAAGATGACACCAGGAAAGGGTCTCTTCTTTCAAAGAACAACAAAGAAAGAGATTGAGATTTTTTCAGATGCAGATTGGGCAGGTTCAGTGACTGATCGGAGATCAACTTCAGGCTATTGCTCATTTGTTTGGGGGAACTTGGTCACATGGCGAAGCAAGAAACAGTCAGTGGTAGCCCGTAGCAGTGCTGAGGCAGAATTTCGTGCTATGGCACAAGGTATCTGCGAGGGAATCTGGTTGAATAGGCTGTTAGAAGAATTACGGGTTCCATTGAAGCATCCCATGGTATTATACTGCGACAATCAAGCTGCCATCAGTATCGCTAAGAATCCGGTTCATCATGATCGAACTAAGCACGTGGAGATAGATCGACACTTTATCAAGGAAAAGATTGAAGAAGGAGTTTTCAAAGTCAGCTACACTCCGACAAACTGTCAAACGGCTGACATCCTCACAAAAGCTCTTGCTCGAGTTAACTTCGAAGATCTGAAAAAAAAACTTGGAATGATCAACATCTACAACGCGGCTTGAGGGGGAGTGTTGGAAATCAAGCCCACGTCACCCCCTGTCTGTGCATGTTCCTCTCCATATTTAGCATCCTCTGTTTACTTCCCTGAATTAGTGTAATGTACAGCCTTTATTATAATTGATTTAGGAGTAATTCTAGCAAGGTAGTTTATTCACTTTCCATGTAGAGGAAATTCCGTCCGGTGATAGTGTACCATTCCAGAATTGTCTCACATCGGTAGGCTATTTATTTTATGCTCTCTTTCATTGTAAAAATACGGATTAACAGAGTGAATTGGGTTGGTGTTCCTCCATATTTTTTAGTCTTCAAATTTCATCACAATTTATTGATGAATACTTTCCTTGGAATTGGCTTCCGCAAAACTTGCATTATAAAAAATGTTTGAAAGATATGGAACGCATTCTCGCATGAAAGCAATGAGAGAAAGTATTATGCACGACTTGTCCAATGACTATTTATACGTAAAAGACAAAGTGTAAATTCGTACATCCCGAATTTATGTCCCTATAGCCTAATAAAATTCAAATTTAAGCGATGCACATAATTTATGAGGGTTGCACTCGTGACCAAAAAAAAAACATTGTTGGAATGATTATTTTTTCTTTTTCTTTTTTCAAAAAAATCTTAAGACTACTCAGCCTATTAGTTTTTTTGAAGACATCCGATACAATTGAAACGATACAAAGAAAAGTAGCATAACCTCTAAACAAGAATGACATGCACAGTTCATCCCAAAGTATGCTACTCTGAGGTATCACATGTCTTTATGACCTCTGGTCCAAAAAGCCTTGGCCATTTTGGATGGTGTGGCAGGTGACCCTTTCCACCATATATTTCTCCACTGTAATTCAAGTCTCATAGCTTGTGGTGCAGGAAGAAACCTGAAATAGACTATTATTGTTGCCAAATGATTTGACCCTATGAAGTGTAAATATCATTGGAAAACAAGTCTGATGAACTGTTAAGTAGCTACTCCACCATTTGCCTTCTGCATCCTCAATACAAATACCACCAGCACCAAAAAAGGGTTCAAATACTAGCATCATGAAAAAAAAGGAAAGGAAAAAGAAACACTTGCACCACTTGCTTTTTGCATCCTAGATGCAACATGATAGAAGTATAAATATTTCACCCAAACCAGTTTATCAAGAATTTTTTTCCAAATCTAGCAGAATCTTTTCTAGATAAAATGGGAAACACTTCAACAGTAATATTAGTAGTAATAACAAGATTTTGACAACCCCTCAAAATGATAGTGTGCCGATCATGACTAGGGTGTTTCTGATTAAAGTGGTTACACTATAATCAATTCGGGCATGGTATGCCAAATGAATTCCAGAAAATATTGACTTCAAATTATGAGGAGACAAATGTGTATACAACAGCCTAAAGGAGTAAATGCAACACCCTAACACGACACAGATTCTAATAAAACGACAATCACGAATAACTGCCTGCAGTCTTTTTCGATAGAAGTATATTTGCTTTCCTTCATATTTGGTTCATTCTGTTAAGCTTCCACTACAAGAGGGATACAATGGAATAACACACCAGGAGCTTTCACCCCTGTCAGACAGCAGGATCTTCAAGAATGGCAGTAGATAAATCACTTATGCGAGGATAAGCAGCTTTCTCATCAAGTTGGCTTTGGGCCCATATAAGCATCTTTAATAAGCTCGGAAGTTTTGGATCTGTTTTTCAGTGTCGGGTAAATCTTTCAAACTCTTGAAAATCAAAAAATTGCAATAAATAGCAACACTGATGTTTATGATGATACTATCAAGAAATGTAATACAATACAAAATTAAGAGTTATGAATCAGCTGAAAATGGAGATGCTGCAGAGAAAAGAGCATTCTTTATACAGGCAAATAATGCTTGCAAGCACATCAATGCAACTAAGACGATTTCTAATATGACAGATGTTATTTAAATTAGACAATCTAGAAAATGATCACACACTCAGCCTCCCTAAAATTCAATTGGAAGTCAGAAGGTACCTTGCTGTCCACTTTAGGTGATGGACTGTTACTGATTAGGTAAAATAAACATTTGCTGGCAGCTCAAATTGAGTAACTGGCACTTTTTTATAAACAGACCATATCACAGTCAACAACACAATTTCAGCCTAATCACCTGACCAAATTTGTTGGTCTTGTCTATCAATAGCAGACCAAGAAACTGATCTTACTAAGTTCTAACCAGAAGTAAAAGAAAACTAACAGTTTGGTAAGTAATATGACAGAGATCGTGTAGGAGTTGGATAAATATTATATATTAATTATGAGAGTTATTTGGATATTTTTAGTATTTATCTTTTCTTTTAACTTTTGAGGGTTTATTTGTTATTATTTATTTCTTTTAGGGTTTTGATTTCCCTATATAAAGAAATGCATGTAAGGGTTTTATTTAGACTTAACTTGTTGAATATTAAGGCCTATTTGCCTAGATCTCCTTGTTCCCTTCCTTTCTCTCTTCTATTTCTCATCCCCTTAATTCTATTTTATTCTTCACTTCTCATTTCCTTTTATTCTTCTATTCTCATCTCTATTATCTTCTCCTTAATCTACGTTAAGAATCAAGCTAGTACGATCTACATCAATGGGTATCAGAGTTATTACAATCTACATCATAATATTAATGTCCAAACTTAAAGTAAGACTTATATATATTTTCATGTGTGTTAACGATAAAGAAATTTGTCAGCAGCCCTTGAAATTTCATATCATACTACTTGTATGTGGTTGTAACTTGAAAAAAATTGTCAATAAGAAAGTTACTGACCTTTTTCATGACTTTGGCTAGTAAGAATGGCTGCATTCACCTCACTGGCTGTCTTTAGGCGCTGTGATATGTCCAGAAGCCCTCCAACAGGGCAGTTGGCAACATCTTCAAAAGCCAGTAGTGCAACTGTCCTTTCTAATTCTTCTAAAAAGCTTTGCTGCAGAAATTAAGATCCGTCAAAAGAGCAATTATTAGCACCTATATTTTGCAAATATGCTGAGTTTAGATGCAAAAGTGCTTGAAATTAAGACAATTCTGTTCCAATCTTCAAGCTTGGTGCCATACATAACATGGTTCAAAGTCGCGGTATCGGCCGATACGCTCAAAATGCTAGATAGAAGTTCCAAAAAAAAATTTAAAAAATTATAAAAAATTCTAAAAATATAAACATCATCATTCATACATCATATGTCTAAAATATATTCAAAAACACATTAAAAATAATTAAAATAAAATATAAGGACGCTACTGAAAATAATTATCATTATCACTGCTTAATGTCAGCACTTAAAAAATATCATCATTATTATTGTCTCTAAGATAATACAAATTGGGATAATTTCAACCATAAAGTTAATAAGTTAGCATTTGATTTAAAATAGAATACTTCAAATATTTATTTAAAAAATAAAATAATTTGAATATCTAACTATTACATTAAATATTTTAATGATTTATTAAATAGTAAATTTAATCTAAGTAAACTTGGTCAAAAAGTGAACCCAAAAACCAATTACCCACAAATAAAATAAATTAACCACACTATGTTAATAAATTAACTACTCTAAGTAAACTAAATTAACCACACTTTAATAAATTACTCACACTAAGTAAATTAAAGTAACCATATTTAAGTTAATAAATTAACCACAGTCAAATAGTCTTTAATAGTTTAACTAGGTCACTAGGTTTGCCATTGTTGGTTTGATAGACTCTCAGACGAGGTCCCGAAAGAGAAAGAGAGAGGCGAGAGGCGAGACTCTCAGATGAGAGAAACGAGAGACCAGCAGAGATGAAGAGAGAGGAACAGGGGGAGTCAGGGGCTGTTTGAGACTTCGACTGCGATCGATGATGCTGGTCAAGCAACCTAGGGTTTGTGCAATTTGCGATCTATGATTGTAATCAATGATTCTGGGTCTTTGCTAAGAAGAAGAAGAAGAAGAAAGAGAAGAACAAAACTTGTTGATTGTTGTGCGAATGGAAAAAGAAGAAGGCAGTTATGCCTTCAATTTTAAGGTATGCCTTTTGCAAATCTGAGTCCCATTTTTTGCTTGATTTCATATCTCTCTTTCTTCTCTATTTTGATCTTTTTTTTGCATTTTGTCTTTCAATTTTGTAAGAATTTTATCATATCTGTCCGAGTCTAGTATGACTCGTCCGAGTTGTAACCGAGTCACGACCGATTCAGGTAAGACTCGTGATTTTTGTGTAACGGGTACTGTTATTGTATCGGAGGGCCGAGTCGTATCGGACTCGGCCGATACCTTGAACCATGATACATAAAGTCCAAGCATGCAAATAAAACAGTTTGACAAAGGAAGTTCATTGATTTCAGAGAAGAAAAGACCGGACTGACTAGCAAGAAATTAAGTGTAACTATGCATCAAAAGTTATAAGGATCTGAGCATTACATTTTCCTCTCCCCTTGGAGCAAGCTCCTCCTGGGCGAACTCCAAAGCCTCTTCCACCTTACCATTCCTAATCAATTCTATCAACTTTTGCTGTTGGAGATGGAAAAAGAGTTGGGGATTTGTATCCAATATCTGCATAAAAAATTGTCAGATCAAATCAAACTTTTGAATTTTGATCAACCAAAAATCGATAAAATTTCCCCAGCAACATGTATTATGCATTCCACGCTGCCAACAGACGGAATAAACATAATCAGGTGCCAACCGTGTCACAAGTCTCAGTAACAACATGAAACTAAATGATTCTCCAATTTCTAATTTATTGATGCAGGACTGCAGATATTTTTCGTTTATTGTCAATCGCTTGATGGGGATGTATGTTCTTCTTATTTGCCCTTATCTGGGGCTTGCAACTTTTTTTATAAGAAATATCTTGCTTAGAAATTCCAGGATTACACGTGACATTTCGAAATGGTCCAATCACCTATGTAATACCCTAAATTTAGCTAAGAATAACTCCCCTAGGTCACTAATATAGCAGAACTTAAGTTATACAAGTGACTTTTTTAAGTATAAAAATGGTAATTCCAATGCTTTTTGTGAATTGTTCAGAAAATAAATATTCACCAAAGCTGTTTTAGTTTTTTCTCAAGAGTGTTTTGACCACATACATCCTGAGATTTTAAAGCTAATGATCACTCAGTGCCTTGAAATCATAATCCAAAAATACTAAACGATTTCACTCTATTCAGAATGTTCAGTGCTGCTTTCAAAATACACCTAAAAGATCATTGCATGTATAAAAGGATGTGTCATTGTTTAAGGAAAGAGTAAGGAGATCTAGGATATCCGACATTTGTTAATGTGTGCCTAGTACCAAGTTTTGAATCACTGCAGTGAAAAATATCATGCATTTCTAATGAGAAGATAGATTATCTAACCTCGGGGTTCAAATCATTAACTTTTTCGATTGCATCCTCAACATTCCCACACTGGACTGCCTTCTTAACTGCCATACGATCTGTGATAGTTGCAAGATCTATGTCTGCTATTTATCTATAAGGTCAAACATACCTTGGAAGATAAAAGTACACCATGCCAGCAAGGCATAATCATTAAAAGGAACATGAAATGCCCTGATTAGAAAATGAAGAAGGATACGTTCTGTCCCCGATTCCATTCTGAACTTCTCCGCTGCGTCAACATAACCCTCTGTGACAAGAAAGTTCATCACCAATTTATTCATATCTTCTTTCCTAATCTTTACATCATTAAGTCTTTTCTCCCACTCCTCCCTTGTTATTACCTTCTTTGAAGTAGCCTGTCAAGAAAGAAATTTTCAGAAATAACCACATTGGTATTCCACAAGGAGAAAAAGAAAAACAGGGAAAAAAAGAAAAAGTAGAGCATGTTTTGCACTCCCTATAATGACTAAATATTTGATTGGGTCTGTTCACATACAGTTTTCAATAACATGTGCCAATCGTGATCTTGTAGCCAAATTACAAAAAGCAAGGCACTTTTCAACATTTCTGCCAAATGTAACAGATCCATAATTCTCATGGATCTGCAAATCATGCACCCACCCCATTGATTTCACTCTGAAAAATTGCAGCTATGCACAAATCTCACACCTAAATTTCATATTTTCTTTAACATTTACAGGGTTGCAGGACTTCCAAAATCTCTCGATACACCTACTTAGGCATGTTATTTTGTCAGTATGGTCAAAGACAACAGGGCTAACAAATAAATTTAAGTATCATGCTCTCTAACTTAAGAAATTAAACTTTTTGTCCAAAATTATTCCCCCTAACTAATGCATGTAGGAAACTTCATTTTCCTTTCTTTCACTTAAATTACTTCTAGTTTTAGTTTCACAAATTCTTTCTTGCTAACCAAATGGAGTCTATTAGGAGCTAATAAAACAAACACAACTGAGTCATTCAATAGTCGTAGATCAGCTAACTGTCCCTTACCCAATTGCCACAACCCTAAAAAGAATTGCAACAGAACATTTTACTCTTATACCAAAACTTTCTACTTCCTTTAACCCTGACTTATCTGCAGAAATTAAGACAAAATAAACGGGTTTTACAAGTGTTTCTTAAGTTAAAATTGTTAATAGCAACCAAAAACCCTTCCTCCACAAGACCCTTCAATTCGAATACTCATATCCCCAAAATACTAGATCCATGATCACGATTCATATAAACACTAAATTTGGCACTCAATTACTCAATTTCGCATCATATAAACAGTAAATTTCATCAAGATTCAGTTCAATTTATGTAAAATATTAGTATGAAACAAGGAATGAAAAATTTCACCATGGCTTCAATCTCTGCGAGTTGACGAGAGATTATCCAGAACAATGACATCAGTGTTCACTGATCCGCCTTCTGACCCATGACATGTATAAAATCACTCTATTGTTTGCTTCAATTTCTCTCTGTTTTTGAATCGAAAATCAAATTCCAAAATGAAAATTCTCATCCGCGGCTGAGATCGATTGTAGCTCATAATCTCTCTCTTTCTAAAGTTTTCTACTTCCGAAAATACCCTCCATTAACTACGTAAATTACAAATGCTGTCCCGATCACTTTTTTCTTTTTTATTTAGGTTAATCTTACTTTGCACTCCGAAAGAAATTTCAATTCTGAATTTTTATCCACAATTATTAAAAATCTTAATTTGTACTCTCAATATTATGAATTGGTAACAATGTGAACTTCGCTTAGATTATCATTTAGTTATCTATCATAAATTGAAACACACGAGTTATAAGTGCTTTGGTATGAGGACGAGGTGTGTTCATCACTGTAGATATTCGTTTGCAATCAATTTGACATCATTTTATGTATCAAAAATAAAGTTTCGTTAATCAAATAGAAGTTAAATCTATCATGTGCAACTCACTTGAGACACAAACAATTTATGAATTTATACATAAGTCCATAGTCGAAACACTTACGACTCATGTGCTTCAATTTTTGACGAAAAACTAAACGGTAGTCTAGGAAAAGTCCACGTTACTACTAATTTATAACATTGAAAGTACAAATTGAGATTTTTAATGTTTGAGTATATAAATTAAGAATCAAAACATCTTTTAGGGTACAAAGTGATAGTCCTTTTTATTTTTCCATTAGCAAATAAGCCTCCCAATGTATCAAATTTCAGTCCGAATTTGAATCCGTATAATTGAATATGGACTTATATTTTAATCTATTTATCTTGAATCTGATCCAAATCCATTTAAATATCTTAAATCGAAAAAAGAGATGAATATATACAAATTGGATTCGAAAAAAAATTGATGTGGTTAATATATATATATGTTGACCTTTATTACATATATATGTATATTGATTATTTCAATTTGATGATAAAAAGATTATTTGTTTAAATTTTGAGGGTCTTGTGTTGTTAATGTTGTTGATCAAAACGTCATCGTTTAAACAGAACAAATGTCGATTTGGCATAAAAGGATATTGTTCTGATCAACAACACATCTGCTTCGTGTTATGATGGAGGAGTCGGACTCACATTTGAGGGTTTTTTTCTATTGACTTCATGTTATGTATAAACTGTGTTTTAGTGAGTTCATATAATATTTAACTAATTTCGTCTCAACTCATTTATTTAACAAGTTAAACTAGTCTATAAATCTATTTATTTTTTTTGATCAAAAAAAAATCTATTTATTTTACATTTTTAATTGGTCCATTCAAATTATGATCTAAGATCTATTAATTTTGTATCAACTTTAGTTTTGAGTTTGCCAGCCATGTGAAGAAATATCAGGATAGTATAGTTCACTGTTACATAATTGAACTATTACTTCAAGGTGGTAATTCAAATGATATGTAACTAATTATCTCAAGATATTGTGAATACCAAGCCCCACTTTTTTTTGTAGGAAGAATAGAATTATTATTAATTATTATTAATTGAAATTCATCAAGAAAATGACACACCAAACATGCATCTACGAATCCCTCTTCCAAACCTAGTGTGAAAATTGATTAAACCATACTGGAGTGTCTTACACTACACAATCTATAGTAAACCAAAGCAACACAAACCCTATTTGCCTCTAATCATAACACTCTTAAAGTTGTCACAGTATCCCTAACGGCACTTTATTTATTTTTCCTTCTCTCAACCACAGTACATGGACTGTGCAAAATGCATCAAGTGTTAGACAGTTGACAACCGGCTAGGGGTATGAGATACGGGTTTAAAACTGCCGGAGGCTTGAGTCTCAGCTGCAGCAGAACAGTCCCTTTTTTTCTCTTTCTTACATTACTCTCAAGAAAAATGTGATGTTCAATGTGAAAATGGTGATATTTTATCATCTTTACCATAACAATTTGCACTACCACCACAAACCTTGTTTGTATTATTGGAATTCTAATTCAAAAACTATCTATAGATTGTGAGAGTGAAAAAAAAAAAAAAAAGTAGCAGCTTCACAACCATACTGTTATTCAGATAGTTTTCCGCAATGCAGGGTGATGTAGAGGCGGAGGTGGCTTGAATGGGATGTGAGTGTGGTGGGACGGCGTGGCAGTGGAGAGGGAGTGTAAAATCCAGTGCATCACACGGACATATTAGTACTGTAATATAACATCAAAAACAAGAATGACCTATAGCAATACTGCAGTATAGAACAAGCATTAGTGTTGGATAATTCGAAACTTGTACTAGATTTCAGTATCAATCTACAACAATTGTGAGCAAAGAATCCAACTTTGATTGCTCAGAACTGCTGCAATACAACAACCAACAATGATTGAGACCACAAATCAATCATGTATCACAAATTCAATTCAATTCTCTCAGCATCTCTCATTCAACCATGCCAATATATGACCGCGAACACTTTCAACATTCTCATCAGTCTCACCAAACAACAAAGAATGCAACATTCCGTCGCATATCTTCAAACTCTTGTCCTCGCTCTTCGCCAATTCATACAATTCTCTGCTCACTTCTGGATCAGTAACAACATCATCGCTTCCATGTAACACAATAAATGGAAGACTCACATCACACAATCGACTACTAACATAATCAGTAACCCGTAAAAGTTCAACCACAGTCCCTAATCTTGGTTTCCCCCTATATCTCATCGGATTCATCCCTGCAATAATTTTCTTTTCTGGGACTTTCACAGACTTATCCAACAGATCAGCTGTGGGTACAATTGGCAAAGTTGGAGCAAATTTCGCAAGAAAGGTAAGAACTTCGGGAATTGGCCATCCGGGTCTAACTTTATCAGAGATTCTACACATGGGTGCGATCAAAATTGCACCATTGAACAAACTAGGGTTCTTAAAATGGATTAAAAGGCAAATTGCACCACCCATTGACTCTCCAAACAAGAACTTGGGTAGATTTTGGAATTGGGGGTTTTGGGTAAGAACTAAATTGAAAAATGAAAGACAATCTTCAACAACAAGGTCAACTTTGGGGACATAGGCCTTGAGACCTTGAGATTGGCCATGGCCTTCAAGGTCAAGGGCAAAACAAGCAAACCCATGTTGGGCAAGGAAGATTGGGGTGGCCTGAAAGGTCCAGCTAATATTGTTGCCATAGCCATGGACCATGAAGATGAGGGCTCGTGGAGGGGTGAGGGTGAGGGGTAGCCATGATCTGGTGAAGAGGGTTAGGCCTCTAGGTGAGGTGTAGAAGGACTTGGTGGATTTGATGTTTTGTTGGGTGTAGTAGTCCTGCTCTGGTGTGTTTCCCCAGTAATAGAGGTGGGTTTGGAGGGGTTGGGTTTGTTCTTCCCCCATTGTTGGAGGTGGATTTTGGATGGTTTGGAGAGAGAGTGAGAGAAGGATCAAACAGAAAAGGTCAATATTACTGAAGGGGTTGCGTCATCTCACTTCGGAAGAAACAAAAAGAAAGGTTGGTGCTTGTTAATACGGTATCGAACGTTATTCCACAATAACGACAATAGCAATAGGGTGTTTTGTCCGATATGCCCCTCACGTGGATGACACGTGGTGATGAAACCGTCAAAAAACGGACGACGTCAATGGTGGGGGGGATCAAACTAAATCAAATTGAATTCATTAGTGATTAATGTGATTTAATTGGATCGTTAGAGACCAAAATGAGATAAAATAAATATTTTAGGACAACCAATGCAATTAATCCATAAAGATAAGGTATGTAACATAATTATTGTTTAAACTTTGCCTCTAGTTGTAAAATAATCTCTAAATTTTTTATTATTTTAATTTAATCTCTAAATTATTAATTTTGTATCAATCAAATCATTTTGTTCATTTCGGTCATTAGAAATAACGTAGACGAGCCTATTTGTTTGTCATCTATACATCCGCATCATCGGTTCTGACCAGTGAAACGGACGGAATGATTTTATTAACATAAAATTTAAGGGTTAATTATTATATTTAGCCCAAAAGGCAATGGTAGGATTGAGCGAATCACACTTCACACCTTAAAATGTTTTAAAATTCTTAATTTATCTGTATGGCTTTAAACATTAATTTTTTTACATTACACCCTTAATGTCATAAATAATTGTAATGTTACTCTCGCACTAACTTTTATTATTTTTTCTGTCAAATTCACGTTTGTTGCATGTAGCAAGATTTGACAAAAAAATAAACTAAAGTTAGTTTGGGGGCCACATTATAACTATTTTAAAATATTTATGGTGTAATGTGAAAAATTTTATATTTGAGGATGTAAATTAAGAATTTTTTAAAATCATTTAGGGTCAAAAATAATTTTCCCAATACTATTTAATCTGATTAATTTAGGAAAATAGTAAAATGTTTGAGATTATAATTTAATATTTTAGGATTCCTTTTAACTTTTCTTCATGGCAATGCAAGTCGTGGCCATGGGTATTATATAACTTAATTTAAATTGAATTGTAACTTTGTTACATGAGATCTTAAATTTATTATTATTTAATAATAACTTTTAATACGATACTAACCCTATCTTACTCGTCCACATTACAATCGATAGGGGCTCTCGGGTTAATTTGCTTTCAGCGATGGGTTAGAGACTCATTGAGTACTAGAGAATTGACATTGAGGTAATCTTCTTTTGCTTGATGACAAGTTTGTGGAAGTTTTTTTCCTTTAATTTGTAGAATAAATTCATAATACAAGAGAATTCTATCATTGTGGTATACTTAGATTTGTCCCCTCCAACTATACCTTTTATTATAATCAGTTTCATGTGGTTTCAAATATTACAATGTGCCTCTTTCAAGTTTCAAGCTGACTAAGTTGACTAACAACAATGGTTAGAACTTAGAACATGAAAGTATCGTTTCAATCTCTTTCTTATATATTATTTTCTTGAAATATCAATTTTGTCCCTCAAAAATAAAGAAACAAAAAACCCAAGAAAAAAATTATTTGTTATCCCAACACAAACACACACACAACATGCTCGTCTTCACCGTTGGCTCTACCTCCACCTTTGCCTCCATCTCCACCGTCACCCATCACTAACACATGCGCATACACGCACACTTTTTCGAGGGTAATTGTATTTTTTTTAAAAAGTAGAGATCCCCAACCAAAAAAATAAAAATCAAGTAGAGATTATCTGAATTTTTCATGTCTAATTTACATCATATTTTATTGTCTAAAATTAACTATTGGATGTTAATTACAAAATATTCAAACTTTAAGGGGATTATTTGTAGAAATTAAAACCTAAAAACGTAAATGACAAACTATCCAATGTTGAAGGGAATATTTTTGTACAAATTTAACATTAATATGACACGAATACATAGTAAAACGATCCCTCAATGATACAAGACACAAGTATAAAACCCAGAGTCCCAAGAACTACAACTTGGACAAAAAGGAAAAAAAATGGAGTGCATTGCTTAATTTCAAAGATCAATTACAAGTTTAGTTTAAAGTACAAATCAAGAGTTTCATTACTACGAGATCTTCATAACACGAATCAGTGAAGCCCAGGCCACCATAGAATAGTCTTACCGCAACGCCAAGACGTGCTCTTAAACTAACCAATCACACATCAAACAAGTACTAAAGGAGCCAAAACATGATACCAAATGGAGGTTAGAAAAGCTTATCATTCAAGCAAAGCAAAACTTGAACATTGTTGAGATAAACCCTTTCCCACAGCCATCTACTGAATCAATTTTCGGGATTGGGTGTCTGATAATCCTCCTGCTGTTGTGATACTTCAAGCCATGAGTGAACTGAGCAGTGGTTATAGAACTGTATTTTTTGGGACTTGAATGAACCAATAATGGAAGCTTTACACGCGTCATGTTTTGAACTTGAAGAGGAACATAAATGGCTTTCTTTATGTCTTGAATCAGTTCAGTGTTGGAATCAAAGAGGTTGGTGGAATTGAAGAACATATTGAATACTTTCAGACATGAAAGATGAAGAAGCCTGCATTGTTTTGGTAGATCACTGAAACCATCCATCAAAACATGTTGAAGAAACTCTTTCTTTTTCTCTTCAAGTATCTCTCTAGTGTAAGCAATTGAATCATCTATGGTTGCCTCTGGATTTTCTCTCATGTGGAGTAAGACGAAGTTAATTTTCCCATCTTCTATTTCCTTCTGTGATTGCACAAGATTTAAGCTTAGCATCAAAGACTGCAGTCACTACACAAGCTAACAGCAGGAGATTTTTCTACCGTGAAAAAACTTTGGGGCACCATACTCAAAATTACAATTTAATAAGCCAATTTACAACTCCATGAGCCCGTTTCTAATCGGCTGGAAAAACTTGGAAAAGAAACTTTAACTACATCCAACGGGGATGATCATATCCTCGAGTACACCCTAGCATCATTTGAAATGTCACTGCACTTCTTTTTAGTTTCTATCTTCTTTTTCAATACCTTTCATACTAAAAAAATACCTACTGGCAATGTAAAAAATGATGGTGTCCCCAAAGTTTTTAAAATAATAAAAAAAATTTATCATGTATTTATTAAATTTAAATTTAATAAAATATTGCCCTAATATTAGTTTTATAAAATACTCTACAAAACACAAAAATAAGAAGAATTAAGGAGTAATAATAGAATAAATATATGTCATGCTATATATGGTAAAGATGCAGGTTAATTTAGTAACATTTACAACCTGATTAGTAACCCTTTTTTTTTCCCGGTAAGTAACTGGTTAGTAACTTTGGCCTCATTGATTCGTAACTTTTTTAACTTTGAAATCGAATGGATACCTAAATTTTTGTTCTGATGGAGTTAACATACCTGGTAGCTTTGAGTATCATTTAACAAACGAGCTATAGCCATGAGCAGCTTTGTGACAGTTTCATACCGGACAGGATTGATTTTCTCCGGTGATAAGCTCGAGCTTAGGAAACATGAAGCTGGGAGTGTCATAGTATGTGTTCCGATAGACGTCGCGCCAAACTCAAGGTATTCAGCCATGGAGGGTACGTATCCAGTTTTGCTCCACGTCGATTCAACCAACCAGGACACGAATGTTTCGCGCCACTGTAACGGAAGAACAAAACTGCTTGAACTAGTTTTATATTACCTTGAAATCAAACATCTGTTATGCAATCGTGCTTATGTGAAACTAATGGCAACAATTGAAGGTGCATCGTGAAAAATAAGGTGTTTGAGAGGGTAATATGAGAAAGAATGCATATAGTTGAGGGGATTAAAGTATAAATTTCATTTCAATAATGAAAAAATATGGTTACAACCCTAAATTATGTGTCCCGTCTTACTTTGCTTCCATTCTTTTAAATTATGTCAATATAGTCCTAATGCTTTCAATTTGACACTAAATAATCCAATACAAAAAAAAAATTTATTATGGATAACCAAAACGGCCAAGTTTACAGTTTTGATCGGATTCTGACTGATATAAATTCGAATCCAATTTTAAAAGTCCGATCCAATAATTCGATGAATTTTATTTTCATAGACTATATTTGAATCCATTAACAATTTGAAATTCGATCTAATTTGAATAACTTAATTAACTAAATTTTAATAAATTATACCTTTTTTTTTTAAATAATCACTTAATTTCTATATAAAAATATATAAATAATTCGGATTGGATCATAATTGAATAGGATACATGTATATCGAAATTCAAATTCGTAAAATATAAGATTTCGCATTCAGATTTGAATTAACAGTAAAAAATATTAATCCATATTTGACTAATTATATTCAACTGATTAGAATTCAATCCATTGACAAGTCTAATCGTAGGGTTGAAAGCGGCTATTTTCGTGAGAGGTGTTGCACTTTTTTTTGATCGGATCCTTTAGAGTAAAACTAAAAAGTTTTAGAGACTGACACGACACAATTGTTAGAGAGTGGAGACTAAAATGAGACAGAGTACATACGTTACCGAATTTTATCTTATAAACAAAGAAAACAAAGTAGAAGAGATGACAGCTTACAATATCTCGAAGATTTTTTGTTATGTTGCTTCCTTGTTGAAGGAGGTGTTCTGATGCAAGGTCACTCACAAGACCATCAAGGGCATTGAAGATTACCTTTCCATGGCCGGTTAGACCTTCGCCATTCCATCTGTTATTCAGGAAGCAATAGTAAGATTGACCCTAAAATTCCTCCAAAAGATAAACTAGGACATATAGTTAGAGTTGAAAATGAACATAATGTGTGAATTATGAGTCTGTTCAAACTCAAGTCATTCGTTTGTGAAAAGGCTCGGGATTAGTTTAGGATCATCAGAACGAGCTTCTAACATTTTGTCTATGCTCAATTTGTTAATTTTTTTTCTGACACTCGGGTTTGGCTGGACTCCTTTAATCTCAAAATCGTGTTCGACCCTAAACTCGGGTTCAAACTTGTATACTGGATCAACTTGGGCTCCTATATATTATGAATTACATATTCACGAGCATGGATGAAAGACATTGTTTAAATTAGGCTTGTTTATTCACAAATTTTGAAATTAAAATCAACCTGATTTGTTTTATTAAGAAATGAGCTTGAACAAGCGTGAAACAACCCAATGAACAAGGAAAGAATGCCTCTCGGGGCATCTGAGAATAATTCGAACCGAATGAAGGAAAACTTTCACATACAGTTTTTTTTGGATGGGGGAGGAAGGAGCCGGCAAGGTCCCTTTGACTTGGCCCGGGCCTAAGTGACAGTGAAGTGGTGGGCCTACCCATCACAGCAAGGGGTATGCTGGGATTCGCGAAGAGTGGTACCTTACGATATTCATGACCAATCAGATCTTGACTTATCAGTAAATACCAGAGGAGATCGCTAAGTTTGAATAACCAAATCCAACCCGAGGTATTTATGAACAACTCAATTGATTTACAACCTTACAAAATTACCTTTGAACTGCATCTGTTAAGCGTTTCAATTCATTAAGAGCACCTTCCATATCAAAAAAATCATCAGCAACAGTTATAAGTGTGGCAGTCTTGGCAAAAATCATTCGGATCATAGAGTTATGAGGCAAGGAACTGCTAGAAGCGAAAGCAAAGTAGCAATATGTGGTTTTCTCTCTCCCAAAACCCATGTCGCTAAGTCCCCATTCCTTGGACCACCTGTGTTCATCATGAGCCACAAGACAAGTAATGAGATAAAACAAGCTATTTGACTATGGGCCAATCATAAATATATATAATGTGCGTCAGGTTACACTTTGACCCTCTTAACTATGTCTAGTGTCTTATATGCTCCCTTAGATGTAAGATCCTAATACACAAGATCAGTAAGCTCGTCCGCAGTCTCCACCACCAATTACGATTATTTGGTCTCACATTATCTTTTCAACTTTCACCTTTCTCATATTAACGATAACTGTAGACTTTGCAAACATGTATTTTATTATACATCGGGAAATTTGCCATCCAAAACATGGTAAACACTAGGTTTTTCAGGTGTTGGATGGGGCAATGTTAGAAATTAGTGAGTAATTGATGGAACAATGTAAGAAAGCAAATAGTTGATGGAACAATGAGATTGAAACCATAATTGACGTGGTCAAAGTATAATTTCCCTTGAAGTGTTGTTTCTTGACAGGAAGTTTTCTATGGCACCACAAAGTTATCAACCCTACCTTTTCATCACCTCCAATTCATTCTTGTATGTTGTTTGCCGGAACTCGTAGTTTTTGACGGCAAGTTTCATTAGCTTCTCATTATGCAGAAGCGTCTGATTCCTAAAGAAGGAGGGCTTTCCAATCCATGGAGGATAGCCTTTGTTTTCTTCAATCCATAGTCTATGATCAAGATGATCCAGTCGAGCCAGCCATGGAACACTCAATTCATTCTCAATCTACATGCAATATCATGCTGTCATATATCAATACAATTTCTAGTACGGATTACGCGAGAGAGAGAGAGAGAGTGTGTGTGAGTGTGTTTGTTCCAGCAAAAAGACAAAATAAATACATAATTGATTCTTAAAGATTGTATTTTTTGTCATTTAATCTTTATTTTATTAATTTTATCAATTTAGTTCATAAAATATTTAATCCGTGTCATTTTAGTTTTTAATTAAACAATCCTTCAAATATTTTTACGAAAGTGACCACGTGTCTTTTTTTTCGACGATATCACGTGCCCAACTCCATCAAAAATTTAATAGTCTGTCTATGTTAAAACAAAAATAACACGAATCGAATATTTTAGGATTAAATTGAAAAAAAAATACGTAATTTAAGGACCAAAAGTACTATTAATCCTTTAGAAAAACTTAAAATCTTTCGGGTGCAAAGTACAAAAAGTCCCCCAAAAAAAAATACATCTTACCAATCTTTGAAAACCTGGGAAAATAGCGAGATTATGGCCTTGAGTGCCCAGTGTAATGGCTTTCTCAAGTACTTTCCCTGAAAGTGATCTTGCCTCCTCTAGTTCATATTCTCCTTTAAACATAAGATCCGTCGCTCTATAAACATTATACATTGCGCTTGTGAAATGTTCATGGTTTTCTTCTATATGATTTAGGATGTCTTCATGAAGAAGAAACCAGCAGAATTTCCCTGCACATGCAAAACAAATTTGTTCCGTAAACGTAAGGTTGATAATTATTAGCACGACCCGCTTACGCAATATAAAATCTACTACTCAAAATTAGCGGATATTGATTCAGCCTTACCAAGTCTAGATTATCAACGAATTGAGTCTACACGCAATTTTGATAAATAAATCGACACAAGCAGGACCAAACTTAACCTATATATGATGCACATCGGACACAATAAGAATCTTACTCCGACACAATTTATATGTAACACAAACCCGATACCATATATATTCATAAATAGTCGGATATGAGTTGAGTAATTATTGACACGACACAAGCAGAAGAAGGATACAACATGGGTCATTAACAAAGAAAGTGGTCCATAACAAGTATAGATGCCATACATGGAGTTACGTTGTACCCATGCATCCGCAGGAGCCGAAATGCCAAGGAGTCTTTGTATATCTTTGCTGGTGCAAGATTGAGTACTGTTGTCGGTCTTGATTCATTATGATTGTAGGTCCTACATGGTTTAGCCACGAATATGAAAAATGTTATCAGTAACTGAATATAGATCATGACTTACATGTAGGGCAGTGAAAAATCTTAGCATAATGCTAAACCGAGAAAAAAGATGAAATTAAAAATAGAGACCAAATGATGTGATATTGATAAGATAGTTTTTTTACCCATCATTCAAAGTTCGAACTTTATTGATATATCAATTGCCATTTTTTTGTCCCCCGTTTCGATTAGTCTAGAATTACACTTTTATCTTATATTGATAGACTACGTGTTCCCTCCTAAGCATTTTCAAGTTTTATTGGAATACTAGTTATTGTCTGTGTCTGAAGGCACAGAGTAATAAAAAATGATAAACAATAAATATATTTGTATTCATATTCAAAATCAAATTACAAACATAGAGAAGAGATAAAATAATTTAAGCATTGGTTTGTAATTGGGATGAGAGATGTTGGGCAGCAGTGGTGGCGGCGAGGAAGACGATGGTGGTGGTGGGGTTGGGGTGGCGGCGACGACGACGATGGTGGTGGTGGGGTTGGGGTGGCGGCGACGACGACGATGGTGGTGGTGACAGCGGTGGTGGCGGCGATGGGAGCGACAATGGCGGCGGTGGTGGTAGAGGTAGTAATAGGCCGGTTTCAAACACTATTTTTTTAAAAATATTTATGAGAAATAATTTTTAAAATTATTTTTAAAAAGTTACTTCAAACACACCTTTAAGACCCTATTTTTCCTATTAAATTTAGGGTGTTAATATTAGTTGTTAGATTAACTTTAAAATAAAATTTAAAACGATATCAACTGCGAATAGCAAAAGTCATTTTGTTTATGTTTTGAAATTTAAATCGTAATCTACTTTATTATATAGATATTTTTTTGTAATAGAACTAGTTATTTACCCAAATAAAAAACTTTGATCCAGATTAGGATAAAGAAGGATGCTATGTTACCTGTAAACGTGTGACAGAATTTCTTCAATCTCTTCATTAAAATGCTCAGCCAACCCTAGTCTTTGTATATGGTTTACCATGCAGAGTTTTATGAGCTCTTCATCTGTTGGATACATAGCTGGAACTACACCAAAAAACCGAGTTCGTCAATTTTTCTATAAGTCTATATATATAAAGGTGTACCCAATACACGAAACTCTCGTCATTGTGGAGTCAAAGGAGGCAAGATTTAAGCCAATGGAGTCACACAAAAACAACCAAACAAACATATATGACGATTAGCTTTACTAACCCCCATAAGGACATTTTTGAACTAGATTTTGTAGGCGATCCATTAATTTTGGGTCTTCTGTGGCCATAAATGCACATGCCATGGAGGCTGGAGAATCAAATAACGAGTCTTCTTCACTCAATTCCTTCACTATTACTGGTTGATCAATATGCTGTGTTGATGGCAAGGACTCAAGACATGACAATAATTGAGGATAGTACCTGTCTTTGTCATGTTTTACTCTTTCCCTGTAAGTTTATAAATAATGTTAGCCACAAAAATGATAAAAACATAAGCAGTGACCGAAATAAGCGTTGGCTAACTCTAATTGCAATCATGGTAGCACAAAGGAAGCAACTGCATGTTATCTAAAATGATTGGGCGTAAAATGTTGAATGTAAGAGGTTAACCCCAGACGGACGGTGAAAATTACCAAGCTCCATTGTACACAAACCTTAGTTTATAAATAATACAACACACACACACACATGTGTGTGTGTGGGTGTGTGTAACAAAGTACAATATAAAAAAAGACTTTTATTTTTTGAGATTAAGATCGTTTTAAATTTTATCTTAAAATTAATCCGACAATAAATATTAACTTTTTAAATTTAATAGGAAAAATAAGCTACTTGAAGGTATGATTGAAGTGATTTTTCAAAGTTCTTCTACAACTTATGACTTCTCATAAAAACTTTAAAAAAAATAAGTAGTGTTTGGAAGTGCTTATTTTAATTACTTCCAATTAAGTCAAAAATACTTAAATAAGTAAGTAAAAAAAAGTAAATTTTATTTTTTTTAAATTATTTCTCTACAAAATAATTCACCACCACCATGCCACACCCCAACACCACCGCAACAGACACACTACCACCGCCACCGTCGTCATTAAGGATGGCAGTGGACCGAAACGGTGGCAGGGGAGTGTAGTCTCCATATTCGTATCCGCTTAAAAAATTTGTCCATTCCCAATCCACTCCTGTGAATAGGTATAGTCTTCACCATCATCCCCGTCCGTGGATAATTTTATAATCCAAGTCCCGTCCCCTGCCTTCGTCCCCGCCCCCGCCCCCGCCCCCATCCACCTTACCCCAACCCAAGCCCAAGCCCAAACCCAAACCCAAACCCAAGCCAAAGTCAAAGCACAAACCAATATAATTCAAAATTTTAAATAAATGTAACATTTTAAATAATTCAACATAATTATAAAATATCATAATATAATTGAAAATTTGTCTTCTACAACATGATCCAACATAATATAATTAAAACATTATCTACAACATAATCCGACATAATATAATTAAAAGTTTATCCTATATGTAAATCCAACACAATATCATGCAACACAACACAACATAACGTAACATAACATAATTTAACATAACAAAAAACATAAAAACACAATGATCTACACTGTTATAAACCAAAAACATGAAAAAATCAAAAAAAAATTAAAAGAAAAATTCATTCAATAATATGTAGATTTGTATTCATAATAGTATGTATATAATAAAAATAATAATAACAACAATAACAATGAGTAAAGCAGGACGGGGATGGGGGCGGGGGTAAGTCTCAGTTCATCCTCACCTTCATTTTCGCTCGGGTTTATACAAGTATTTTCATATACGACCATCGTTAAATACGTATAGCTCATCCCCAATCCAAACAGGACAAGTTTAGACAAATACCTATTTTTACCCAATTTTATTGTCATCCCTAGTCGTCACTCACCACCGATTGCTACCACCGCCACCCAATGCCACCACCCATCACCATCATCATCTCATTGTTATATTTATTATCATCACAACCATCATTCCATCACCACCATTGTTGCCCAGCACCACCCATTACCACAACCCACCGCCACCCGTCGACACCTATTGTCGCCTCCACCCATTGTCACCCACCCCCGCCACACCTATCACCACCAACCACCATCACCCATCATCACCCACCCCCGTCTGTCGCCATAACCCACCAATGTCATCGCCCCACCACCACTACTATCAATCACCATTATTATTGTCCACCGCCACCCACACCCATCACCACCATCGTCGTCACCTATGGCTATCATTATCACTATCATCAGCCAAAACCCACCACCACCATCACCGTTGCCACCCATGGTTACCACCACTATCACGGTTGCCGCCCACCACCAAAATCATCACCATCTCCCACCACCACCATTGCCGCCCACAACCACCACCATCGATCACCCATTTTACCAGTGCTTAAATTCATTTCTCTTTCGTTTATGTTTGTAATTTGATTTTGGGTGTGAATATAAATATGTTTATGATTGATAATTTTTTTTATTACTCTGTGCCTTCAAGCACAAGTAATAACTAATATATATATATAGGTGCGTGCAGGATCTTGCACAATATAAACACGAGAACTGATCTCTCCCGTGGTGAACTCAAGTCAGTCAGTCAAATGATCAACCTTGCTATTCGGAACAGGCTGATATTTGTTGGCGGCCTGGAACGGTAATGGGTGACTTTTGTGGATCAAATGAGCGGTCCAGTAATGCTGAGGGAGGTTCCTGGAACAGAGAAAGACAAGTTAGAAGGGCGCCGGAGTGTTTTTCGGCGTATTCCCTCCGACGATCAAGTCAGTTTTTGAAAGAGGGGAAGAAGAAAACACTGAGTATAGGTTTGAGAAGGTTTTTTTTGTTTTATCCCGACTTGCCTTTTGTGAGGAGTATTTATACCTCAAAAATTCATGATTGCTGTCAATGTGGTCAGTAGGTGATCATTAAATACGGGCAACGTGCACACTGATTCCTATGAGGAATGTCTTCTCTCTTAATTACTCGGGACCCCGAGCAACCAATGTTGCCTCATCGGCCTGCCGAATGTTTAATGAGCTCCTCTCGGCAAGGGTGTAATAAATACCCAGTCTCAGGGACATTTATTACCTTTCTCTTCCGAGCCTTACCGCATTAAATGTTGTCTCATCAAGGGAATGGTCTAATTAAATTCTTGTTTTTCCCAAGTTGTGTGTCAGCAAGGGCATCCGGTCTTTTTGTCTCTGATGTGACACAATATGCCACGCACTCATTCCTCATTGGCTGTGTCTTCTGCCTTCTGACACCAATTGTGTAAGACGAGGTCATGATGGCTAACCTAGCCTAGCCTAGGCTAGTGACCTGTACATCAATAGCCTCTGCAGAAGCAGAGAACGCCATCCTGGACGGGTACATCTCGGTACCAAGGGGAGTGGTACATGTAGGGGCTGATGTACCCATATCTGACCGAGGGATACGTGTCGGTATGTACATACTGGGGTGTCATTGATCCCTATGAACAGTACCTCGGGGGGAAGAGGGACTTGTGATCCGACAATTACGTGTCGTGATTACAGTAACAAAAATTTACTGATACCGAGAACACGTGTCTTCATCTTGGAATACCTGGAATCCCATCAATATATATGAAACTTACATCTTAAGAAATTGATGCTTCTCCAACAAAATGTTGGAAACTAACCCTTTTAATTCGTCAGGAAAGAGAAGCTCTAGACCAGTGGCTTGTGCAAGTTCAACCATAGCAGGGAAAACAATGGTAATCCAGTGTGGAAAATGATGCTTATTTACTTCTACAAGCATCCCTGTGTTTGCATGGAGAAATGCCAAGCCTGAAATGTGAGAGAAAAAAACTCAAACAAGATATGACATATATGCAAGAGAAAACAAAACCTATCTTGTCGTTCATATTTGAGTCGTGTCATTCGGCCTTTGGTAATCTCCCACATTTAATTAATTATGTTGGATATCCCGATAACAATCCACTAAGTAAGTAAGGACACTCACTTAATTCATATCATAGCACAATCAAGTAAAAAAAACATTTAACTCTACCAAGACTTGTACAATACTTACAAAAACATTCTATAATGATACATATTTTTCTCATATATTATCTATTACACAAGTTTGCTATGCTCAAATCGAGTTATTTATATTTAACACTAACTTGACTGTTTTGTTGTTCGTGTTACTAGGTATTTGTCATTTTCAAGTTTATGTCAAAATTAGTTCACCTTAATCTACTAAATTTGTGTTGGATTTGTGTCGTGTTACTGTATCGTGTCAAAAATATCAGCTTTGACTATGTTTCTAACTCGATAAAAAGAGAACAAAAAAACATGATACTCTTGTGTGCAGTTTCAGCAGACCGTGCACCTTTTTCTATATTTTCTTCACCAACACTCCATGTTTTAAGTGTAACCATACAAGCCAGAGTTGTAGGGAGAGTTTCAATGGAGGGAACACCATCAAGATTAGACTCTCCCCAGAACCCTTCTTCTTTCTGGTTATCGAGTATCCAGTTCAAGCAATTTTTGAACATCGGACGATCGTCTTGTCCGGGGTCGGGAATCATGGCTAAACATGCAGTATCATAAGCAGACGGAGAAAAAATTGAGTAGAGATCAAGGTTAGAGAACATCTCTTCCTTGATCTCTTTAACCAGAGCTTTAATGGAGGATTGTGGGGATTCCATCAAAACAATAAAGAAAGGGGACAAAGGCCTTGTTTGCTTAAGTATAACTGTGTGAGACTGTGTGAGTGTGAGAGAGAGTAAGAAACTTGAAGCTATTTGTAGAGTTTTTCCATCATAAATGGCTAGAAACATTTCATGTTAGGGGAAGCTTACAGTGCATTTTCCTATGGACCCACTAGGCATGAAATTAATGGGATCTTGCATACGAACAAGAAAGGGAAAAAAAAAATAACTAATCTAAGTAACATTGCCATCCACATATATTTCTTAGGTTGACATATATGTCTTATGTTAAAAGTAAGTGTCATTGTGAAGACGTAAGACATATTTGTCCATGACAATGACACTTACTATTGATACCTGATGACAACGTAAACGTAGGCGCCATTGTCATGGACATATATGTCTTATGCCTTGACAATGCAACTTACTATTGACGTAGGACACATGTGTCGATAATAATGGCACTCAATCGGCCTTCCTTCTAACTCGGTGGTTGTTGACCTCAAATTTCAACCACCTGGTAGTGAATTCAAGGTTGGTAGAGAGGGAGAAGATGATAATGGCACTTAGGGAAAAAAATAAAAAGACAAAATGATGTGATAATATCGTGATACTTTCCATCTCGCTATTATTGACTTAAAATTCAAATTTTATTCACCCCATATGCACGCAACACTTGGTCCTCTTTGTTGGTCAATCTAATATTACTTATTTAATTATTGGCAAATTGACCTCCAACTAGAAATAAGACCATTCAATTATAGAAAGAAAAAAATGATAGTGAGAAAGGGAAAAACAATAAATCTCAAGAAGGAAGTCGAGGAGAAAAATTCTAGCCCCAACTATCAAGACTACTAACAACTCACCCTCAACGTAAGATGACTCTATAAATAGACAAATTAATCAAGTTGAGGTAAAACGGAATGAAGAGGGTGGAACAGGGCGGAGGATGCAAGTCTCGGGGTTTCATCTTTAATATCTATCTAATATTATAGTTAAAAAGTAGAATTCTCAACTTATAAAAATATAACAACAGTTAAAATTGATTAAATTTTTATCTATTTGATCAAATGGTAGAAATATATTTCAAAATTCCTTTTCATTCAAAAACATCGTTTGCTCTGCACGAACTCCAGTGTCAAACAATTCAACTAACACACTCTTCAATATCAGACAACTCTACTAATCTTCTCTCTTCTCTCCCTTATTTTTTTCTATTCACTTTTATTTTAAATAACGTGTTTAAAAAAATAAATTGTTATTTAAAATATAAAAATTACACAATCAATTTTAATTTATTATATTACAAAGTGCTTTCACCCACGGGATTATTACTGGTATATATATATATATATATATATTGTAATGGGTTGGTAATATATGTCAAGACATGCTTTTCATACATGTACGAATTATAAGTAGTCATTCTCAGTTCAATTTGAATTTTCTCACATTTGAATTATTCATAGCTAAAGTCGAATCATGGAGAAATGTCGGTTTGACGTGCAAAACATTATTGGAGAACTTTCGGCACCAATAGCGTGTACGGATAGTTCAGTGGTACGAATTTAATTTTTAAAAATAAATTATAATTTTATTTTCGTTTCTCATTAACGACTCACGAATTTAAATGATATCTGTATAATTAATAATCGATTACAAATATTCGGGCATCGCCGAATAGTGATGGATTTAATGTGAAACTACCTTTAAGAAATTATTTCTTTATAAAAACAAGAATTTGACTATAATATTGAAATTTTTTGGTATCATATCTCTTTTTTAGTTTAATAAAAAAATTCAATATGTGTAAATATTTTTATTTTAGTTAAAATATATTTCTATGATCAATGGTCAAAATTAAATCAAACGAAGATTAATTGTAAGAAATTATTTTTTTATGATATTTAAAAATAATTTTTGATACCATATATATATATAACACTGTCCAAAATAGCAAAATAGAAAACAAGTCTATTTTTCTTCAAACGACAGTTTAGAGGTCAGATTCGTACGAATAGGATACCTTGGACATTAACGAGTTCACATTTAATTAGGTTAGACGCAATAAATCAAGTAAGCTCAAATCAATTAAAAGATAAGTCAAATTTAGTTCGTAAATTCGAGCCAGTTCAAAATACAAGGAATTTTAGAAGATTAAAACACGTAAAAAGTAATAATTGGGATACCCACTCTCGAAGATCAATTCACCATTTAATTATACTTACCTTTTGTAACTATTTTTTTCAAAGAATTAGTGTCTTTCCCTTCAAATTACCTTTTCAAGTAAGACTCTATGTCTATAAATTGTAAGTTTTCTTTACGGAGAAGAGCATCTCTACATCTCTCTACATACTCCTCACATAACTTTTTTGCTCTCTCGTAACTATTGTATCTCTTTCGGAACTAACATTTGCTCTCTTTCTATCTCTTTCTCATTTTACTTTATCAGTAAAAGTTCTCCAACCATCGTCGCTGTTTCTTATAATGGAGTAGGTCACTCTGACTGAACCATTATATACATGTATATTGATCCAATATTTACCTTTTTGTCATTGAATGCTTCATTAATTATTTCATTAATTCTCTTGCATCATCCACTAGACCTTTAATATTGCATAAGTCTATTTTGTGTATCATCAGATATTTTTTGGATTTCATAGATAAAAATATCTTGGACTTGACTACGGTACTAAAAAAATTTGGTACTCTACCTCTAAAATTTAATATTTGAATGCCTATTTTAATAATCATTGAATTCTTTTATAATTAAAAAAATTATTATTTTTGTTAGTGATTTATCACTTTAGTGAGTATTTTTATCAATATTGTGGTAACTATTTTTTATCAATGGTGATATTATATCATTAATGATGATATGATATTATTAATTAATAATAAAACTCAAAGGAGGGTAAGAAATTATTTATTTACATATAATTTTAGTTATTAATTTTTGTAGAGTCTATATATTTATTTGTTTTAGTATTATCAGTTAGTTATACTATATCACTTTGTTACATAGCATCACCGTTGTAATGAATATTTTTTTCACGTGATGGTTTGGCCTTTGCTCTTCTTTCCCGATAAGGAATTGGTTGGAGTTTTAACAGTTAAATTAAATTCGTGTATTATATTGTGCAGGATCTTGCACAATATAAACACGAGAACTGATATATCCCGTGGTAAACTCGAGTCAGTCATTCAAATGATCAACCTTGCTATTCGGAACAGGCTAATATTTGTTGGCGGCCTGGAACGGTAATGGGTGACTTTTGTGGATCAAATGAGCGGTCCAGTAAGGCTGAGGGAGGTTCCTGGAACAGAGAAAGACAAGTTAGAAGGGCGCCGGAGTGTTTTTCGGCGTATCCCCTCCGACGATCAAGTCAGTTTTTAAAAGAGGGGAAGAAGAAAACACTGAGTATAGGTTTGAGAAGGTTTTTTTTGTTTTATCCCGACTTGCCTTTTGCGAGGAGTATTTATACCTCAAAAATTCATGATTGCTGTCAATGTGGTCAGTAGGTGATCATTAGATACGGGCAACGTGCACACTGATTCCTATGAGGAATGTCTTCTCTCTTAATTACTCGGGACCCCGAGCAACCAATATTGCGTCATCGGTCTGCCGAATGTTTAATGAGCTCCTCTCGGCAAGGGTGTAATAAATGTCCAGTCTCAGGGACATTTATTACTTTTCTCTTCTGACCCTTACCGCATTAAATGTTGTCTCATCAAGGGAATTGTCTAATTAAATACTTGCTTTTCCCAAGTTGTGTGTCAGCAAGGGCATCCGGTCTTTTTGTCTCTGATGTGACACAATATGCCACGCACTCATTCCTCATTGGCTGTGTCTTCTGCCTTCTGACACCAATTGTGTAAGACGAGGTCATGATGGCTAACCTAGCCTAGCCTAGGCTAATGACCTGTACATCAATAGTCTCTGCAGAAGCAGAGAACGCCATCTTGGACGGGTACATCTCGGTACCGAGGGGAGTGGTACATGTAGGGGCTGATGTACCCATATTCGACCGAGGGATACGTGTCGGTATGTACATACTGGGGTGTCATTGATCCCTATGAACAGTACCTCGGGGGGAAGAGGGACTTGTGATCCGACAGTTACGTGTCGTGATTACAGTAACAAAAATTTACTGATACCGAGAACACGTGTCTTCATCTTGGAATACCTGGAATCCCATCAATATATATGAAACTTACATCTTAAGAAATTGATGCTTCTCCAACAAAATGTTGGAAACTAACCCTTTTAATTCGTCAGGAAAGAGAAGCTCTAGACCAGTGGCTTGTGCAAGTTCAACCATAGCAGGGAAAACAATGGTAATCCAGTGTGGAAAATGATGCTTATTTACTTCTACAAGCATCCCTGTGTTTGCATGGAGAAATGCCAAGCCTGAAATGTGAGAGAAAAAAACTCAAACAAGATATGACATATATGCAAGAGAAAACAAAACCTATCTTGCCGTTCATATTTGAGTCGTGTCATTCGGCCTTTGGTAATCTCCCACATTTAATTAATTATGTTGGATATCCCGATAACAATCCACTAAGTAAGTAAGGACACTCACTTAATTCATATCATAGCACAATCAAGTAAAAAAAACATTTAACTCTACCAAGACTTGTACAATACTTACAAAAACATTCTATAATGATACATATTTTTCTCATATATTATCTATTACACAAGTTTGCTATACTCAAATCGAGTTATTTATATTTAACACTAACTTGACTGTTTTGTTGTTCGTGTTACTAGGTATTTGTCATTTTCAAGTTTATGTCAAAATTAGTTCACCTTAATCTACTAAATTTGTGTTGGATTTGTGTCGTGTTACTGTATCGTGTCAAAAATATCAGCTTTGACTATGTTTCTAACTCGATAAAAAGAGAACAAAAAAACATGATACTCTTGTGTGCAGTTTCAGCAGACCGTGCACCTTTTTCTATATTTTCTTCCCCAACACTCCATGTTTTAAGTGTAACCATACAAGCCAGAGTTGTAGGGAGAGTTTCAATGGAGGGAAAACCATCAAGATTAGACTCTCCCCAGAACCCTTCTTCTTTCTGGTTATCGAGTATCCAGTTCAAGCAATTTTTGAACATCGGACGATCGTCTTGTCCGGGGTCGGGAATCATGGCTAAACATGCAGTATCATAAGCAGACGGAGAAAAAATTGAGTAGAGATCAAGGTTAGAGAACATCTCTTCCTTGATCTCTTTAACCAGAGCTTTAATGGAGGATTGTGGGGATTCCATCAAAACAATAAAGAAAGGGGACAAAGGCCTTGTTTGCTTAAGTATAACTGTGTGAGACTGTGTGAGTGTGAGAGAGAGTAAGAAACTTGAAGCTATTTGTAGAGTTTTTCCATCATAAATGGCTAGAAACATTTCATGTTAGGGGAAGCTTACAGTGCATTTTCCTATGGACCCACTAGGCATGAAATTAATGGGATCTTGCATACGAACAAGAAAGGGAAAAAAAAAATAACTAATCTAAGTAACATTGCCATCCACATATATTTCTTAGGTTGACATATATGTCTTATGTTAAAAGTAAGTGTCATTGTGAAGACGTAAGACATATTTGTCCATGACAATGACACTTACTATTGATACCTGATGACAACGTAAACGTAGGCGCCATTGTCATGGACATATATGTCTTATGCCTTGACAATGCAACTTACTATTGACGTAGGACACATGTGTCGATAATAATGGCACTCAATCGGCCTTCCTTCTAACTCGGTGGTTGTTGACCTCAAATTTCAACCACCTGGTAGTGAATTCAAGGTTGGTAGAGAGGGAGAAGATGATAATGGCACTTAGGGAAAAAAATAAAAAGACAAAATGATGTGATAATATCGTGATACTTTCCATCTCGCTATTATTGACTTAAAATTCAAATTTTATTCACCCCATATGCACGCAACACTTGGTCCTCTTTGTTGGTCAATCTAATATTACTTATTTAATTATTGGCAAATTGACCTCCAACTAGAAATAAGACCATTCAATTATAGAAAGAAAAAAATGATAGTGAGAAAGGGAAAAACAATAAATCTCAAGAAGGAAGTCGAGGAGAAAAATTCTAGCCCCAACTATCAAGACTACTAACAACTCACCCTCAACGTAAGATGACTCTATAAATAGACAAATTAATCAAGTTGAGGTAAAACGGAATGAAGAGGGTGGAACAGGGCGGAGGATGCAAGTCTCGGGGTTTCATCTTTAATATCTATCTAATATTATAGTTAAAAAGTAGAATTCTCAACTTATAAAAATATAACAACAGTTAAAATTGATTAAATTTTTATCTATTTGATCAAATGGTAGAAATATATTTCAAAATTCCTTTTCATTCAAAAACATCGTTTGCTCTGCACGAACTCCAGTGTCAAACAATTCAACTAACACACTCTTCAATATCAGACAACTCTACTAATCTTCTCTCTTCTCTCCCTTATTTTTTTCTATTCACTTTTATTTTAAATAACGTGTTTAAAAAAATAAATTGTTATTTAAAATATAAAAATTACACAATCAATTTTAATTTATTATATTACAAAGTGCTTTCACCCACGGGATTATTACTGGTATATATATATATATATATATATATTGTAATGGGTTGGTAATATATGTCAAGACATGCTTTTCATACATGTACGAATTATAAGTAGTCATTCTCAGTTCAATTTGAATTTTCTCACATTTGAATTATTCATAGCTAAAGTCGAATCATGGAGAAATGTCGGTTTGACGTGCAAAACATTATTGGAGAACTTTCGGCACCAATAGCGTGTACGGATAGTTCAGTGGTACGAATTTAATTTTTAAAAATAAATTATAATTTTATTTTCGTTTCTCATTAACGACTCACGAATTTAAATGATATCTGTATAATTAATAATCGATTACAAATATTCGGGCATCGCCGAATAGTGATGGATTTAATGTGAAACTACCTTTAAGAAATTATTTCTTTATAAAAACAAGAATTTGACTATAATATTGAAATTTTTTGGTATCATATCTCTTTTTTAGTTTAATAAAAAAATTCAATATGTGTAAATATTTTTATTTTAGTTAAAATATATTTCTATGATCAATGGTCAAAATTAAATCAAACGAAGATTAATTGTAAGAAATTATTTTTTTATGATATTTAAAAATAATTTTTGATACCATATATATATATAACACTGTCCAAAATAGCAAAATAGAAAACAAGTCTATTTTTCTTCAAATGACAGTTTAGAGGTCAGATTCGTACGAATAGGATACCTTGGACATTAACGAGTTCACATTTAATTAGGTTAGAGGCAATAAATCAAGTAAGCTCAAATCAATTAAAAAGTAAGTCAAATTTAGTTCGTAAATTCGAACCAGTTCAAAGTACAAGGAATTTTAGAAGATTAAAATACGTAAAGAGCAATCATTGTGATATTCACTCTCGAAGATCAATTCACCATTTAATTATACTTACCTTTTGTAACTATTTTTTTTGAAAAATTAGTGTCTTTCCCTTCAAATCACCTTCTCAAGTAAGGTTCTATGTCTATAAATTGTAAGTTTTTTTTATGAAGAAGAGAATCTCTACATCTCTCTACATACTCCTCACATAACTTTTTTGCTCTCTCGTAACTATTGTATCTCTTCCGGAGCTAACATTTGCTCTCTCTCTATCTCTTTCTCATTTTACTTTATCAGTAAAAGTTCTCCAACCATCGTCGTTGTTTCTCATAATGGAGTAGGTCACTCTGACTAAACCACTATATACATGTATGTTGATCCAATATTTACCTTTTTGTCATTGAATGCTTTATTAATTATTTTATTAATTCTCTTGCATCATCCACTAGACCTTTAATATTGCATAAATCTATTTTGTGTATCATCAGATATTTTTTGGATTTCATAGATAAAAATATCTTGGACTTGGCTACGGTACTAAAAAAATTTGGTACTCTACCTCTAAAATTTAATATTTGAATGCCTGTTTTAATAATCATTGAATTATTTTATAATTAAAAAAATTATTATTTTTGTTAGTGATTTATCACTTTAGTGAGTATTTTTATCAATATTGTGGTAACTATTTTTTATCAATGGTGATATTATATCATTAATGATGATATGATATTATTAATTAATAATAAAACTCAAAGGAGGGTAAGAAATTATTTATTTACATATAACTTTAGTTATTAATTTTTGTAGAGTCTATCTATTTATTTGTTTTAGTATTATCAGTTAGTTATACTATATCACTTTGTTACATAGCATCACCGTTGTAATGAATATTTTTTTCACTTGATGGTTTGACCTTTGCTCTTCTTTCCTGATAAGGAATTGGTTGGAGTTTTAACAGTTAAATTAAATTCGTGTATTAATAATTTGAATTTGCGAATTCAAATCTTTTAGAGCGCGAATTTGTCACGGATTCGCTATCAAATCGCGAATTCGCGTGCGGAGCGAGAGAGTATGATCTATTTTAGACGAATCAAGTGACTAAGTTCATAACTTTGAGCTAAAAGAATTTTTAGTTGTATGAATTCGGTCTCTGGTCTCTAACCCAAATTCAAACGATGAATTTGATCCAAAGTAATTCGACATTATCTCATTGTGTGTACACTAAAAATTGATCAATTAAGATTCGATGATCTCATTGCATAAATAACAATGCAATCATTCACTTTTTGTGGCGAGTATTTTGGATCGGAATTTATTGAACCCAAGTACTAGTAGCATAAATGGACCAATTTGTAATTGTACATCCAACGTGATACATATTATAGCTAAAGACAACTCATGTCTGTAGATAGCTAGTTTCCAAATTATGAAGATGACATTAGTGTGAGCATGTTTCCAAGTTCGTGCACATAAGGACTATAGGTGGCGAGTAGCCATCACCACATCTCATTTTCATTAATCTTAAAATGTTTATGTTACTTCAAAGCTTTTTATCATGCTCAGCTAGTTTGAAAAATTATTTCTCAAAATAAGGCAATCTTCAACTTAATTATTAACAATATGCAATTTTACAAAACGTCAGCTATTCAACTTGAAAACGTCAGTTTAATTGACGCGTTTTAAGCAACCCAAAATGTTTAGAATGCATCAATCCATTAACCGACGTGAGCAAATTGGGATAGAATGTAAACGTTTTTTAAACCTTATGTTAGTTTTTTGTTTTTAAGGTTGGTGGGTGCCATGGAAAAGTGTCGGTCCAACTAACATGATCAAGTTAAAACCGTCAATTAGACTAACACGTTCTAAAAATTATATTAGTCAAAAGATGTTAGTTGGATTAAATGTGAATTTCAACTCCAATGTATCAATCACTTAAATTCGTAATGTATCCACTTATGTCTAGACATAACTTGGATTGTATCATAATCATATACATTTACAAATATTCAAATCCAAATTCATGAGAGATGATATAATGGACTCATATGGTGTATGTAACAAACTTAAATTCATATTTAAATTTCAGATTAAAAAAAACAATTTATATTCCATTAATCGAATTCAAATTTTAGTGGGATTCAAAATAAAAGTCAATTCATTTAAGAAGCTAATGTGTAACACAGCTGTTATGTGTACAATTTGGATTGGCAAGGATAGAGATCTATGCTTTACAAGAAGGATGTCATTATATAAATTGTGTGAAACTATCAATTTAATGTTGTAAAATTTCAGTCACACCTCTCTTAATTTATTATATCTTCAAGGACACGCCTTCTAATTTATATTTAAATATCACTAACACTCTTTATCATTAAATTACCATTTCTAACCAAAAAAATTCATCTAAATACCAAAAATGCCTCTACATAAACCTCAAGTAATTTTTCTACATAAAATTTTATTAAAATTCTAACCGATTAAAATTTATTTTTTTTACATATTAAAATTTGAACCAATTAAAATTATATTGAAGCTGATTAAATTTTATTTTTTTAACGTATTAAAATTCGAGCCTATTAAAAAACAAAATTAGGTATTAAAATTTGAGCTGATTTGAAATCTACCCGAGTCGTGTAGCGCCGATTAAAATTCGTTTCTATCCTTTAAAGATGGAAAGTATGAATGATACGTTTTCCTTCCTTTGTGTTTGGTTGGATGGATGGATGAAAGGAAAATAAAAATGACTAATTTGTTTTTAATTTCTTTTTGTGTTAGCTAATATTAGGTATGACAATTTAGTCGTATCGTGTCAGATTCGTGTTGAGTCATAAAATTATGAG